ATCCTCAGAACAACAATTGTGAGTGGACTGGACCTTAACCACCCAAAATCGATTATCGAATTCGAACTATCCTAAGGGTGAGTCGGGTGGAACACTAAAAAAAACAAATGATAAAAAAAAACGGAGTATCGTGATAAGAGGCCGTTGGTTCGCACGAGGGAATCAGAATGGAATGAACAAATTAAAGGGAAAGATAAGGAATAGAATGAAAATCCCCCAATTTTGGGGTGGTGTTTGTTTTAAATAACAAAGGAATGGAATGAATGGAAGACCACCAGTCCAACCGCCACCGCATTGCTTCACTTCCCACCATTTCCAACCACCACCTAGCCACTCCACCACTCGCCTCATCTCCTCCACAACTCCCCTCCCTTCACTGCGCATCTCCCGCTCCTCGCCACCGCTAGGGTTATTGCCTGCCTTGACCTCCCCTCCCCCGAAAAAACCACCCCTAGCCCCGATCTCCCTCTCCCCCGAAACCGTCGCCTAGAGACTAAGGTTTCAAGGGTGGTGGGAGGGCTGGGCGGCGGTTTAACGGGGATAGGGAGGGGATTCTAGGGTTTTTCTGTGGTTGTGGGATGTTTTTGCGGGGGAGGGGAAGGCGGCGAGGATTGGGGGAGGGGCAGAGGTGGTCAGGGTAGGGGCGGCGGTGGTCAGATATGGAGGTGGGCTGGTTTTCCGGTGGTATTAGTACGTGTGAAGGTGGATAGGGAATAAGAATGGAAATACCTAGGGGGGTGGGGAATGAATTTAGAGGGATTTGGGGAATGAAGAGGGTAAAGAGTGGGAAAAATGGTATAACAAACAACAACAAAAAGAATGAAGACAGTTGATTCCCATTCTTTAATGATTAACCCCCACCAAGCGGCCCCTTAATATTTTTTTGTTTTCATATTATACCCGTTTTTACAGCCAAACCAAGTGCCCAAAAATAAGGAACACTAAAAAAAAAACCCCATAATTTTTTCATCACTCATAAACTTTTACAAAGGGGGAATTAAATATCCAAAAAACTTTTCGAACCCAACCACAAAATCAAACTTTCCCGCGAATTTCCATACGTGACCCCATCCTGCCACGTTGGCAATCCGTGTTACCCCCTTTCAACCAATCAAAACACACCAAACCGTTCTATATAAACCAAACTCATCTCTTATCTCTCTCAACAGTCCTCATTATTAACCCTGATTTCTCTCACTACAATACCACCACCGCAATTCTCTTCCACCGATCACTTTCTCTCTCCTAGGGTTCCGATCTCCGGTAGGTTTCCGGCAACAATATGAGCGGCAAAGAAGGCGGCGCATCCACCAAAGGCGGCCGAGGCAAGCCTAAGGCTTCTAAATCGGTTTCGAGGTCGTCGAAAGCTGGGCTTCAGTTTCCTGTTGGTAGGATCGCTAGGTTTTTGAAGGCTGGAAAGTATGCTGAGCGTGTCGGTGCTGGTGCTCCGGTTTATCTCTCCGCCGTTCTCGAGTATCTCGCTGCTGAGGTATTTCGTTTTCTCAATCCTCTATGTTTTTTTGGTTAACTGCTCAGATCGTGTTTTTTGAAAGTTTTTGAAAATGATTTGATGTTTTGAGTTTGCTGAAGTTTGTTGGATTGATGTTGATTAAGTTTTCTCGTTTTCTTTGGTTATTTTTTTTGGATTTGAGGAGTTTTGAACCTATAATTTCTCATGCTTTTGGTGCTGATCGATGTTCTGAATTTTCCGAATGATTTAATTTAATTCACAATTTTCCAGTTGATTTTGATTCATTTCAATCGATTTTGCTTCAAAACCTGCAAAATCGATGATTTCTTAATAGGTCAATTAAGCTTGATTAATCTGCAATTAATCATTCAATCAATTTAACTCTGCTGATTTTTCACTTCAATTGAATCAATTTTTACAAAAATTAGCGATTCTAGGGTTTGTTCTAACAAATTTCTGGTAAATTTGAAATTGATGCAGGTATTGGAGTTGGCCGGAAACGCCGCAAGAGACAACAAGAAATCTCGAATAGTACCGCGTCACATTCAACTAGCAGTTCGAAACGATGAAGAGTTGAGCAAGCTATTAGGGCAAGTAACAATCGCAAACGGCGGCGTTTTGCCAAACATTCATCAGACTCTTTTGCCTAAGAAGATTGGCGGTGGTAAAGGAGATAATACTCAATCTCAAGAGTTCTAGAATATTCTCGGATGTACTTAAAAACAAGGAAATTAAAGCTTAGTATAATTTCTTTTCTTTTTCTTTTTGGGGGATTTTACTGGGGGTTTTGGTTTTGGTTTTCTTCCCCTTTTTGTTTTTAGATATAGCAATCAATGGGGGTTATAATGTTTATGTAATGCAGTATTAGTTAGTTTATGGGATTTTAATTATCGGATTTGCTATTTTCTAATGGAGAATTGTGAATTTTCTGAATTTCGTCATTTGTAGTCGACTTTCTAAGTATTTTCTGCATTTATTCATCATTTTACTTCATAGAGTTTTCGTTCTTTTTGCCTGCATTTGAAAATCAAAACTAGTTGCTTTTGTTGAGTTTAGGCTGTCATCTTTAACCATTTGAACACTAGTGTTTTAGGGGGGTGGCTGGAAAGTTGGATACTCTGCATTAGTATTTGATGTCGTATTAATTAAATTGATGATAATTATTTTTTAAACTGATTTAAACATTGTTTTTGAAGAGCAATTTGTTAATTGGATCAATCAAACAAACGTTGATTTGAGTATGTTGTAAGTGCGTTGTAGAAGATATACTTGTATGTAGTAGTATGATATAGTGACAAGAAAATGCTATGTGGAATTTGTCTACTTGGTATAATTTACTCAATAATTACAGCATAATAACAATTGAATGATGAGTTCTTAACTACATTATCAACTAGAGGATAACTACATTATCAACTAGAGGATCTAAATATGCCATTGGGTTAGACCATTGTTAGGCATAGTAGGTTCACTAGGTTGTATGTGTTGGATCATGAGTTGCCTTTATTTGGGATAATCACGACCAAGTTTGGCATTCTAAGATAAAACATGTTAAAATTTTGCTTAGTCATGCAAGCACGTCATAGTCATGGCAAATGGACTTAGATAACCTTTTGAAATTTTTGACATATTATGGCATGTAGCTTGTGGGTTAGGCCTAGCTAATCCTAAAGCATATGGCCTTGGTATGAGGCCAGGGGTTATTCGAATCAATTTTAATGAATTTTTAGCTTTTTAAAGCCATTCTGAAAAAATTATGCTCCAGCACTCTGTATATTGGAGTACAATCCTAAGGCAGTTAAAAATTACACCGATTAAATATTGATTTTATTTTGTATTTTGAAATTAATACGGAGTACCATATCAGTTTATACATTCATTATTTATTTTATAACCTTGTTGAATATCTTTATTTTTGGAACACCTTTTACTAATTGTGCAATCAAACTAAATTGTTTACTTTTAAATGCAACACTTTTTATTACATGTTTGTCAATGCATTATTTCAATCTTTACTACAAGTATAATTTAATATTACTCCGTAATATGTAGTAAAAATTACTTTGTATATGAATTATATATTAATAAAATACAAACTGACAGGAATCTAATAAGATTTTAGTTTTTCTTGACTATAAATTATCAAATCTAGTAAAATAGAGTACAATATATAAATAGTGTAAAAGTCAAAATATTGATTGTCAAAGAAATACATAGAAGAAATATATACAAAGTAAATAAAAACAAATACTTGTATGTGTTAACAGAGTATCTTATTATTAAATTGGTATGTCCATAAAATTTTTTCAAATTATTTTTATTTTCATTGGTAAAATTGAAAATTGAATTTGAATACTAGTAGAATTGTACTTTTACCCAAACTTAGTTCAAATCGCATATTACTGATATACATAGTCAAATTGACAAATTGTCATACTATTCATAGAATTATTAGATTAGACTGTTCACTAATTTTTCCGATTTATGAACTTGACTCACAGACAGAGATCTGCCAGAAATCTCCAGTAAACTTTAACATCAGTAACTTACAACAATACAAAAGTCCTTGAACTACAAGTCTTCCCTTATTCGAGTCTTCAATCTTGAATAACCAAATTTTCTCTCTCCTCCCCATCAATGGCGGTTCAGTGGGCTCTAGTCTGCCATGGCATAATCACAACCTTAGTAATAGTCTCCTTTTTATGTGGGCAATGGCCAATTTTTCAGGGTACTTTCATCGAACGCATTCACAATTTCATCACTTTTGGCGCCTACGATTACTTCCTGTAAATCTTCTCTTCTATATCTTATTAATTTCAATTTTATTTCATGAGTTTTGAAAATTAACCCTTCTAATTAATTTGTTTGGATTTTTTAGGAGATTTGTGGGATGGGTTTGTGGAGATCGAGGTATGAATGCAGTTCTATCAGTCGAGTACTACTGTTGCTATCGTTCTAACCCTACTTTGCAGGTAATTTTGTTATTTTTGATTTTTAGAGAGATTTTAATCTATGTTTTGTATAACTTAATGTTATTGTGGATTTGTTTTTCTTGAATTTTGATTGGTATATTGATGTTTTGGGGTTTGTAAGAGCTGAAAATGGGGATTAATTAAGGGCAATTTTTGGGGTGAATCATGCTCACTTCTTTGAGTTGAGTTGGGTCAATTGTTCATTGTTCTAATGTTCTGTATCAGTAGGATTGGTAGTTTAATTTTGTTCTTTGAAAGTGTTTTGATCGTTGCCTTTCATTGATTATCTTTGGGGTATAAATATACAATTACAAGATATAGTCAAGCTTGCTGATTAGCTATAAACTAGGCTACAAATTAGGCTACAAACTAGGCTATAAAATATACATTAATCAAATCAGTTATATACAAAGTCAACCTAGAATATATCTAACACTCCCCCGCAGTCGTAGCGGGAGACTCACAGACGCTAAGACTGACACGGAAGTCATCAAAAAGAACCCAGGGAAGTCCCTTTGTAAAAATATCTGCAATCTGATATCGAGAGGGAACATGTAAAACTCGTACCTCGCCTTTAACGACTTTCTCCCGAACAAAATGAATGTCCATCTCAATGTGTTTCGTGCGTTGAAGCTGCACTGGATTTCCAGATAGGTAGATGGCACTCACATTGTCACAATACACAATAGTTGCTGTATGAATAGGAAAATAAAGCTCTAGCAACAAATTTCTGATCCAGCAAGAATCAGATACCACATTAGCAACCCCGCGATACTCCGGCTCTGCACTAGACTTAGACAATGTAGGTTGCCGTTTAGAGGACCAAGAAATCAAATTATCCCCTAAATAAACACAATAACCAGAAGTAGAGCGCGTGGTGTCGGGGCATCCCCCCAATCCGCATCAGTATAAGCAACAAGTTTATTAATAGAGGACTTGTATAGATGCAAACCAAAAGACAAAGTACCCTGTAAGTAGCGTATAATACGCTTCTAAGGCTCCCATGTGCGCATTGCGCGGATCATGCATATGAAGGCAGACTCCTGCAAGACTCTGAACTGCATAAGATATCAGGTCTAGTAAAAGTCAGATACTATAGAGCACCTGCAAGACTCCTGTACTTAGTAGGATCCTCATATGGAGCATCATGAGAAGCACTAAGCTTGAGTTTGGTGTCAACTGGTGTCGGACAAGGGCTACAGTTTGACATGCCTGCTTTTTCAATAATAGAAGAAGCATACTGTTTATGAGACAAGAACATACCATTAGCATCACGAGTTACAGCAATGCCCAAAAAGAAACTCAAAGGACCTAAATCCTTCATTGCAAATTCGGAGCCCAAAAGATCCATAATATGTGTCTGTAGACGATCAGAGGATGCTGTAAGAATGATATCATCAACATATAACAGAATATAAGCAGTATCAGTGCCCTGTCTCAAGATAAACAGAGAAGTATCAGATTTACTGTTAGTAAATCCAATAGAGGTGACAAAATCTGCAAACCGCTAGACCATAGAGAGATCCCCGTAATAAGCAAACATGATCTTGTCACGAAAACCCATGGGTTGATACATATAAACTGTTTCATTGAGCTTACCATGAAGAAAAGCATTCTTGACATCCAAGTGATGGATCGGCCAAGAGTGAGAAATAGCAATGCTTAGAACAGTACGAATAGTATCCGGTTTGACAACCGGACTGAAAGTCTCATCACAATCAATACCCTGCTGCTGAGTCTTGCCATCAGCCACAAGACGATCCTTATATCGCTCAAAAGAACCATCAGAATTTCGTTTATGACAAAATATCCACATAGAACGAATAACATTCACATTAGAGGGCCGAGGAACCAAATCCCATGTATGATTATCAATAAGAGCATTATATTCTTCCAACATTGCTTTTTCCAATTAGGGTCACGGATAGCACTAACCGGGTCCTTTGGTATAGGAGATATAGTGGTAGTGGTCATCGTGTTTAGGTTGGAAAAATATTTCGGGTTAGGTTTTACAATGCCATTTTTTGCTCGGGTAGTCATAGGATGGGTTTGGGTTGGTGGATGGCCGGAAATGTGAGTGGTGGGGGCGGGGCTGATGTGGACAGTGGGGTCGGTTGAGTTACTGTCAGTCAGGGGTATGAGAAATCCTCACTTCGTGAGGAAGTGAGGATTGGGCTGTCGAAAAAGAAAGGCTGAAGGGTTGGAGTGTGTTGGGTGGATTGCTGGGAGCCCACAGATGGAGATGCGACATGCGACAGTGGGCTGTGGGTTGGAGCGGGAGGAAGTCCCAGTAGAGGGAGGCCCAGGTGAAGGAGCATGATGCTGCTCTTGAGGAGGAGTAGACTGGGCCGTGAAAGGAGAAGTGACGGGTTGAGTGGTGCGTAAATGGGCTAGGTGATTTAATGGATTGTAATCCAAAAAATCATAATCATCAATTTTCGGTTTGTGATATTTTGAGAACGAAAATTCGTTTTCAATAAATTTCACATGCCTACTAATGATGATTTTGCCATTTGATAAATCATAGCACTTCGAACCACGATGATTTGGCGCGGGGCCAAGATAGACACAAGGGGTGGACCGTTCTTGCAATTTGTTTATAGTAGGGGAAGGGAAGAGAGGAAAACATAGGCAACCAAAGACTCGTAAAGCCGAATAACTAGGATCACGTTGGTATAAAACTTGAGTAGGAGATTTATAACCTAAGACTTTGGTTGGTAATATGTTTAGGAGATAGGTAGCCATGGCTAGAGCATGATGCCAAAAAGAATGAGGCAAAGAAGCATGAGCAAGAAGGGTCCGAATAATATTATTTATTGATTTTATGTGGCGTTCGGCTTTTCCATTTTGTTGAGAGGTGTGAGGACAAGAAAGACGATAGAGCATGCCATGATTTTCATTTTTTTTTAAGAGTACCATTAACATACTCGGTGCCATTATCACATTGGAAAGTCTTAATGTTACGTTCAAATTGAGTTTGGACTATCTTATGAAAAGATTGAAAAAGATGTTTAACTTGAGATTTCTTTGCAATAGGATAAGTCCATAAAAATTTGCTGTAGTCATCAAGAAACAATAGATAATAACAATGACTAGAAGAACTGAAAATGGGGGAAGTCCATAGATCACTATGAATTATATCAAATGGAAAAACGGTGTGCGACATAGAATCATAAAAAGGAAGTTTAACGTGTTTCCCTAAAGGACACGAAGAACAAAAAGAAGTACAAGCCTTATTACATTCAATAAATTTTTGATTACTTAAAGATCTAAGAACAACATCGCCGGGGTGTCCTAACCGATTATGCCAAAGATGATCGGAAAAAATTGCAGAAAAATTTGAATGTGAAACTGATGAGTTGGCTTGACTGGGTGGAAAGATGGGATAAAGGTCACCGGTACTGTCACATCTCATTAGGTGGGCTCCCATCTGTAAATCAGTCACAGAAAAGCCATAAGGGTCAAAGGAAATAGAAACCATATTGTCTGTTGTGAATTTACGGACGGATATCAAGCTCTTTATTATTTTAGGAGGATGTAAAACATGGTTTAAGGTAAATGGAGGGTACGGGGAGGGCAAAGTAGCACTACCATGACCAATAATTGGAACTAAATCACCACTACCAACAACAATGTTATGATTTTTAATGCTCGAATTGACATAGGTAGAGAGAATATCTTGATCGGCCGTCATATGAGATGTGGCGCCAGTGTCCATATAATAATTTGGATCCGGACGGTTGAGATCGGTAAGCATTTGCAAAGCAGCTTCAATGTGAGTAGGAGTGGGATTTGGACCATTTTCATGAGCACTGTACGCTTGAGGTGGTGGGCCAAGAATCCCAGGCCCAGTCGGCCTTGAACCAGTATAGGAGACAACAGTCCGTGGGGCCCAATTCTGTGTTGGGAACGGACAAGGTGGAGTGGGCCACTGGCCCATCCATGGAGGCCACATATACGGTCCTTGCTGAAACCAGGGCTGCCCATTATTTGGGCCTGATTGCTGGGCTGGGCCTGAAGGGCGCCCTTTGTTAGAGGGCTTAGAAGAATATTTTTTTTTGGTTTTTGTTTTTGGTGGTCGACCGAGTTGAGTTCCCAGATGACTCGGCCTGCTGCTGACTTCCGGTGGAGATGAGAGCTGTCGGCCGGCGACTGGACCCACCCCCCTTGGCGAGACGGTTCTTGATGGTGCGCTCGGCTAACTTAAGGCGAGAACGGTAACTTTCGAAAGAGCGAAGAGGTTCTTGATTTTGGATAAAATCCACCGCTCCGGCATAAGCTTCTGGAAGACCGGCTGTCAGTTTGAGGATGAGACGGGTATCGGAAATCGGAGCATCAACATCTGCAAGACGATCGGCAAGGGATTTGATGTGATTACAATAGCCGTCAATGTCAGAGAAGTTCTCGAAATCAAGGTCAGCAAGTTCTTGTTCGAGATGAGAAGCCCGTGACGCTTTGTTGTCTTGGAACATGGACTTGAGGCGTGTCCAAGCACCATGGACAGTGTCATCTTTGAGTAAGATGGCAGTGAGAAGAGATGGAGAAATAGAACCAGAAATCCAGTTAAGGACCGCGGCATCTAATCGTTTCCAATAAGCAGGGTCTGCCTTCTTGGAAGTTTCATATGCAGCGAGTTCGGTTGGTTCCGTAGGAGGAATGATATGTGAGGTGAGATCATGAACTCGACACAGCACTTTAAAAAGTGCAGCCCAAGAGTGGTATAATCTATGATTGGATTCCAAGGTAATTGGTATAAGAGACTTTACGTTTGTGAGCGTAAAGGCGGGATGAAATTTTGGAGTTTCAGCCATGGATAGGTTGCAGCGGAAGGAAGAATAATTTGAGGAAGAAGAAGGAGATTATGGGCCGTGTGAGAGGGATAGAGGATGCGAGGATCGGAACCCTTAAACTGATACCATGAAAGTGTTTTGATCGTTGCCTTTCATTGATTATCTTTGGGGTATAAATATACAATTACAAGATATAATCAAGCTTGCTGATTAGCTATAAACTAGGCTATAAAATATACTTTAACCAAATCAGTTATATACAAAGTCAACCTAGAATATATTGCCATATATTCTGACATTCCTTTTATTGAATGTCTTGGCTATAAATCTTGTTTGATCAATATGATCAATTTCAAAGTGAAGAGAACTGAGAATTCTTATCGTAGGAGAATCGAATGCGGGTTGCCAATTTGCCTGTTCTTTTGTATAGTTCCTTTTGTTGTTGGTTAATGAAATTGAAGGGATGAAGTTACTTTAGTATTCGTCAAAGCTTTTACCTCCCCAGGAAAAAAGATGCTCGGTGATTGGGGTTTGGAAACTAGGAAGTATTCTGTGTATGATGCTGTTTGATAATTTTAGATGTGCACCAACTTTGTTAACTTCAGGGATTTCATGCTAAAGTGTACGCAGAAAGTTGGAGTTATAGTTTTATTTGAGCAATATTTCACTTTTGAATTTGTGAAGAATGAGTTAGTAGATTTAAGGGTGGATGTTTTTACTCTGAAGCTGTCCTTTAAGCTCATTATTGAGATGATTGAAGTTAGTTATTGAGGGAGTATGATTCATAACGGAACTCAAATCATAAGTATATGTTGATGTATACAATGTCTAATTAATGATCGATGTTGGAACTTCAATGTTACGAGGTAGAAGAACTTGAATGCTTTATAATTGAGTTTGAAGTTGAAAAGCTTAAAGTGCTTGGTCCTTATTCTTGAGGGTTCTTTAGCTAAAAGAGCAGTTTCTAACATCATCAACTCATCATGGGTACACCGGAATTGGGTTTCTATTTTCCTGTCATGATCTTTAAGTCATATTAATTTAAGGCCTTCATATATATGGGATGAACCTGACGCTTATTTAGAAGAGGATTTACAATAATGAGATAACCTACCACTTACTTCTTAGAATGCGGTTAGAATTAAGTTTCGACGGAGGGGGAGAATGTTATGGATTGCCAGTAAGTAGTTTGAACTTTGAAGATTAAGGTCTTTGGCTTGACTTTAACCAATTTAAATTTCCATTTTTTTTGTTCACTTTTTCTTGCATCAACCCTTTTTCTCTCGCTCTTTACTCTGCCATCTATTTACTTTCATTTTTACTCTCTTCTTCCACTACCTATATACAATTTTTATTCAATTAGTAGTTTAGTACTCTTAACATCCATGCCAAAGCCAACTAATATTATCTTTGTGGGATGGAGCGAGTAAGTTCTCTTGACCTCATGATCGAACTTGGATAGAAGTATCCTACATGCCTTGGCCTAATCTTTATTAAAAAGTTGTTCTAACTATTCTTTCCATCTAATCTTAAGACTCTTAATTCTCTTATCCTGAACAACTGCTATGAAATATCTTTAAAACATTTCATCACAGAAAGATCTGTAGTCTTCGTTATCTTGTTTATATCCTTTTTTTCTTCCTTTGAAAGTAATTTATAAAATACAAAGTAAAATTAATATACGTTTTTGCTTTGAATATCAAAAACGCTTCCTTTCCCTTTAATTTTGCATCTTTATAATCATACTTCCCATCTTTAAGTACCATTCTTGTATTTCCTCAAACCCTTCCTTTACCCTGTCATTTGACCATGAAGTTGAGGCCATGTAATTGTGTGTCGGTACAGTTCCCCTGGATTCTGTAGAAGCTTCTTTGTATCCTTAAATATAGTTGTACTTTTGTCCACTTGGAACATGGACCTTCTGACCTTAACCTTTTGTACTACGTATATGTTATTGATTAATTATCCTTTTTGGTTGTTTGTTTGGTTTGAGTTCTTATTCTTCTTAGACTGACTTTAATGTCTATAGCTATTGTCTCAGTGTGTATATCTTTTTTATTTTTTTTTATTTTTTATTTTTATTGGTAAGAAAGGTAAGGATTATATTGCATTCCATCAAATTTTGTACAGCAAAGAAATCAATTTGGATGAACCTTTGGGAAAAACCAAATTTTCTAAAAATATAAAATACTGCCTTGGCTAAACAAAGCCTGAAATAAACTGTTACAGCCCAATTATAGAAGGGGACTATCAAACCACACCATAGCTAGAACTCTGCGCTTTACATCATTTTTTGTATAGAATTCTGGAATTCGATATCTCTATATCTGGTAGATCATAGCCAGAGCATTGGTAATAATGGTGTTTCTGTTGTATTTAGAATCCCCCTGTCTTCTTTTTTACCCTCACTGCACTATTCAGACTGTTGTGCTTAGAACCATTCCCAAGCCATTGAGATAGCTAGTCACAACATTTCCTGCTATTTATGCAGTTAAAAAATAGATGATCGTGTGTTTCAATCTCCACACCCTAGAGTAACCAAGCACTAACAGATGCAAACCCATATCCTTGTATCCTATCTTCATTCTTCAATACATGTTTGGTAGCCATTCATGTCATAAAACTATGCTTAGGGATAGCTATCCTCTCCAGACATAGATTCCCAGACGTACATTTGGCTAGCAAGCCTCAAATCTTCATTACGTATGATCTTACAGTTGGTCAACTGCATCTTTCAAGGATATGAGCATCTGAAAGCACAATATGATAAATTGTATAAAAGAATTAAGAGCTCAAATGGTAAAGTCGAGGACTTTTAAAGTAAACAAAGGAAATTCTGGAAGTAATTTGGAAATTCTGATCTTTTATAAGGTGTGGCTACTGCTAATTGTTGGATCTTGACCATCATATTGTCATGGTCTCTCAGACTTATATGTTAAGATGTCATCAATTGATCACATAGATTGATAGATGATTCTTTTGGCTTTAGTTTACCTGCCTAAATTGTGACATAGGATAGACTAATTCTGTAATGCTGCTGTTGCCTTCCCCTAATGAGCACTGCAGCTATCTTACCTATCTCAACTTTGAGTTAAACTTTTCATCTTCGGTAGTTCATAACCCTTAGTATCTGTTTAATACCTCTGCTGATACATTCCAATCTTTCCTGAGACTTTGATTGGCATGTAAGATACTGTTACTTCGCTTACATGATAATTGCTATTGCTTATTATGGTTTCAAAAACCATACTGTTATATATCATGCATAGAATTGACTACCGCTTTGAGATGACTTAAACAAGAAGCTATTTAGGTTAAGAAGAATTCATAATGTATTTCCTTGTGAATTTTGAAACTTGTTGAGTTTGGTTGATGAATATGATGATTACAGAGTGCACAAGTGTTCTGTGATCTTCTTACTTTTATACTCTCCTACACTATGTAAAATGCGTTAAAAATACTCGAAATCTTTAATCATGAAAATTCTTTCCTTTTTTTCAAGTACATATATGCATATATGTTTATAGTTTCACAGTGATTTGTTTGAGCTCTATCTCATAAAGTAAATAACGAGGATGACATAATTGTGTTTTCAGCCAAGAACATGCTCCTTTTTTTTAAGTAGAAGCAATTCTTTTTTATTTTTTTTATATATTTTTTTTAAATTGGGCTATATCAGGGCCTATGGCGAGATTCATATTATTAGATTTTTCCTTAAGACTTAACTGATCAATAGTTAAATACATTTGTGACTTAGCTAGGGTTATTGAAAACCTATTTACGGGAATTCATTCAAAAGGTAGTGTGAGGTATGTTTTGATGTGGATAGAGTATGTATGACTGGAGTAACTTACCAAGGGCCTAAAGTATTCTTTGAATATACTTGATTGTGAGGATGATGGTATGGTGTTAACTCTCTTAGAAATAAGGCTGGGAAGCAATGTTGTAAGTGTAAGACTTGGGAAAAATATTAAGTATATAGGCTATCGTTGTATTTTCAGTTTAATGGCGCTGAATGCTGATAGCTAACATGTGTGGAGCAATTTATCAAGAGGGATGAAGTCTTGTTGAGATATTAATGAGATCTATCTTCTCATATTTTATACTGTCTCTGTGTTGGTGCATTCGCTGTGTTTAACATGTATTGTTTGTATAACTTGGAGACAGAGTCTATCCCTAATAATTGATTTTGTGCCAATTTTTTTTACAGTGATTTATTTGTTTTTTTGCAGATTTTTTACCTTGCAATACTTTCAACAACATACTACTTTATTGTGACATCTTCGTTTGTTTACATCCCTAATTATTATTTGGGTGAAATTCATAGGTAATATACCACCTGAAAATAATATACATAAAGGATGATACTTATCTATGATACTTTTTTAACATAATTTCTTTTGATTTGTCATCTATATTATATGTTTTTGCAGGTATATAAGCATATTGGCTGTCAGTGTAGGTGTTGTATTATTCTTGTTAACCAGCTTTTCAGATCCTGGAACTGTGACTGAGAAGAATGTATCCCAGTATATCTCTGCGTATCCCTATGATGATGTCATATATTCAGAAAAAGAATGTTCAACTTGCAAAATTTGGAAGTGAGTTACACCACTTTATCTTCTAGATGTTTTATCGTGGAGCTTGTGCTCATTGTATATTGACAAGATCTCTGGTTGGTTTAGACCTGCAAGATCCAAGCACTGCAGTGTGTGCGATCGCTGTGTGGCACGCTTTGATCATCACTGTGGATGGATGGTTTGTAAATCTTATACACTTTTCTTTTTTAAAAGTTCGTAGTGTTCAATTCTATTGACCAGAGTTGTTTTTCTGACCTGCAGAATAACTGTATTGGAGAAAGAAACACTAGGTACTTCATGGCTTTTCTTTGTTGGTGAGTATTTGTATGGGCAGTATGTGGTTTCTGTACTGTGGAATTTATGATCTAACTTATGCTGATATTACGCGGAGTAGTGGGTATATCTGTATATATTTCCTTAACCATAATCAACAAAGCTGGCGAAGCAGAGTATGTGAACAATTTATAAGTCAAAGTGCTGCAAGTAAAAAGAAACAAAAGAAGTATATAATTTGATAATCTATTAATTTTGAACTTTGACACATGCCCATATAACAACAATACTCTGTGCTTGGATTTGGCTGTAGAATCTGGCCCTCTGTCTTCCATCATATTGGGGCTTTGGGGTCTATTTGGAGCTATGTAAATGATGTGATTATATGATAGTATTTAATTTACAATGCTTGGTCGAAATAGAAGTTGGAAGAGGAATTACTATATGTAGTATGGCGGTATTACTCTTCTATTGCTTTAAAAATACAATTTCACTTTTGAACCTTGGGAAGGTGAAGCAAAAATGTCGTGCAAGCTCCAGTTTAACATGTGTTGTGCTCTTGCAGGCATTTCTTTCTTTGCCTATATGGAGCCATTGCTATAATTTTTATTCTGGCTAGTCGGTTGAAGGAAATGAGGATAATTCATATTCTGACAGGTTGATATTGTTGATACCTTGCAATTGCACGCTAACCTGTCCATTTAGCATATTGTTTGAAATACCTTTTTTCCCTTGTGATCTGCAGTCTACTATGGTGTTGAAAATTCAATCCGAGGGTTAGCTCCTCATCTTGCACAGGTAAATTGGTTAAATTAGGTTAAGAAGCATGACATACTTTGATGATTTACCAATATAAAAGTAGTTTAGTGTAGGCCTTTTGTTTCTAAAGACCATAGATACCTGTGAAAAATGAGTGTCGAACCTCCAGATTTACGCAGTTAAACATTTGTTACTGGGTAAAGTCTTACTTGTTTCACCTTGGAATAGTTAAACTCTAATCAATTTTGTCACGCAATGAAATAAGGATGAATACATAGATTAGAGAATGAAGAATAAAAAGTTAGAATACAAGATGATGTCAATGGGTAAAAGGAACTACCCTGTTCTGCTGGTTATGGATGTATTGAGATGTTTTGTTTTTTTATTTTTTTGGTTGGAAGAATGAATCTTGATGACTTTCCGGCTTCCTGGGTCATTCAGGAGAGGATTGGATGGTTTATTAAGAATTGAACATACAAACAATATAGAAGCTAAATGTCTAATTGTACTATCAGGATTCCATTGATTTAGTACCTGAGGAAGCCTAATATTGAATTTCTGAAACCTTTGGGGCTCAAAAGGTCTCATATACTGTGACCATTGAGCTTTAAAAACTGAATCAGATCTCCACCATGTTTTCTTTTTAAGGAGTACAATTTGGCATTTACACTTTTAACCTAACTGTTTCGATCTATTTTGATGTCCGTGTTCACTTCCATGCTTACATGTAGTGACGTAGTGTGTGTTGAACTTCCTGTCTATGCACTCAGATAGTCAGATTTTTTTTTTTTTTTTTGAAAGAAGATAGTCAGATTACTGATTCTTTCTATTCTTCTCTGTCCTTAAACAGTGGTTGTTGAGCTCCTATAACACTCAAATACTTCTGATGGTGTTTCTTGCCATTGTCTCTTTGCTAATGGCTGCTTTCTTCGGCTACCATGCAAAACTGTGTTTTACAAATACCACTACAAATGAGGTATGTCCGCTGTCCATTGATTAATACTATGTAATGAATACTTGAAAATTAAGGTTTGGGACCGTATGATGCTTCTTTCAGGGTTCAAGATTTTTAGTTTAGTTTCTGAATTGGTAATTCAAGTTGTATGCCTTAAATAATAGATTTTTTTAGGGGGATGGGCGGTATGAAATTATTTTCACTGGTTCTTATGGTTGATCAAAGTCCTTGGGCATAAAAAAAATGTCAGATGAATAGTGCTGTAGTAGTAGTAGTAGCTAAAGGAACGAGCTACATACTAGCATCATGCACTCATGTAAGGCTTAGGGTACTGAGTTTTAATTTTTCTCATGGAATGCTATGCAAGTTCTCCATAACTTAGACTTCTCTGTCCTGCTTATATGCCTATAAGTAATTATTTGCCGTAGTTCCTAAAACTCTAGGTGCGCTTGATAAAGGAAAATAAATGGCTTATAAAGGGTAGTGGCTGCTGGAGAAACACAACCAGAAGTCCTCTTCTCTAAACTCATCCCCAAACTAAAAAAAAAAAAAAAAAAATCAACTAAAAAGGGAATAAAAGAGAAGATCCAGAAGCTCTTATATAATTCTTTTGGTTCTGTTTTGTGCAACCAGACATACAAGTGGCAGGATCATATAAGCCTGCAGAGGAAGATAAATGAAGCAAAAGTCGGTGCCGCGGCCCTGAAGGCAAGTATTAGTGGGCTTAACTCTGAAAGCAAGCCTCCTGAGAGCAAATGGAAATCCTATTTCAGAAGGTCGCCTTTGAGAGATGCAGAGGCAGTGGTAACGAAAAATATTTATGACAAAGGAGTTGTTCATAATCTTTGTGAGATTGTCTTCCCCTATTCTACAAGATCCTCATTCGTGCAAGCTAAAGAAAAGTCTGGTTAGAGGAAGATATTTACATTGTTGTATAATTTATAGCAGTTTTGGAATTTGATATGCGCTTCAGGGCTTCAACGTGGGATGTAGTTTAAAGGACGGGAAAGGGTTGGGAGCTTAGCGATGCTCATTTGAGTCATGTCCTTGTGCGTATACATTTATCGTTATAGGAGTTAGTTTGTTTGGACATGTGGTGATACTTTTGGACCACAATGTATTAGCTAGTCTGTTATAGGACCTATACGTTTATTCTTTGCCGATAAGGCGTGTAAATTTATGTTGAAGAAGAGCAAAAATAGGGAATGTTGGATTAGTGTTTATCTTTGCTTACTATGACCTATGTAACGTTTAGATATTACAGAGTAGAATTTACACACTTACGAAAGTTTAGTACTCTTAAATTCTTTTGCTGATGAAGTGATGATATACATGTACTATCTTTGTTTTCTTTTACTAGTATATTCTTTTGCTGATTTATATTTGTACTCTCTCCATTTTCTTCTAAATTCTTTTGCAGATATACATGTACTAAACTTCGAATCCACCTCTTAGACTCCAAAAATTTTATTAACTTATTTATTTAATTTAATTAATATTTTTAATATTTGAAAAATTACACTTAAAACGGCTTCAAATGTGATTAGCCAAACCAAGCCACAAATTACTTAGATTCACCCACATTTTAGAGTTAATCAACTTATTTATCCTTTAAGGCTTTGGCTCTCTTACTCCCTTCCAACTTTCCAAGTTCTAATACCAAAAACCCGTCAAAAAAAAAAAACAAAAAAAAAAGGTTTCAATACCAATCAATTTCCACCGGCAACTAACACTGCCACCTCGAGCCAACTAGCACGTAGCACTGTATTTAAATATAGACTGCAAAATAATATAAATAAAAGGTTTTGCGTTCAAAGTGTTATTCACAATTCGGATTTTTCACCATATACCACTAAGTTAAAGCTTAATTCACCATATACCATAGAAAACTTTCTAATACACCATATAACCTTCAGTTTTACGAAAATGTCATAACTTGCTCTTTCCGTTAACTCAGTTAGTCATTAACGTCAATTGTGCCACATGCCAGCTTATAATTGGTTCTTATTAATATTCTTTATTTAATTAACTAACTTTAGAGAAATTATTTAAATTTTTTTTTAAAAAAAACACCACCACCTTAGCCACCGCCGGCACCAGCCTAGCCCTGACCCTACCCCCAGCTGGCCGGCGATCGTCCCCCCTCCCCGCCGGTGAAATTTCCGACCCCAGCCACCTTTCCCTCCGGAATTCCCAGCCACCACCTGCGAGTTCCCCTATCCCTCTCAAATTCCCAAGCACCACCTACGAATTCCCCTTTCCCTCCTGAAATCTCCAGCCACCACCTTCGCGCGGCAGCCTAAATCCACTCCCACACGTCGCCGCCGCCCAACTTGCCGAAAACCACCACCCCGAAACCCTAAAACACCAAAATCAAAACCCTAGATTATTTTGGTTTTAGGATTTCGACATACGTGGTGGTTTAGTTTGGGGTGGAAATGGCAACAATAGGGGCGAAATTGATTCATCGGCGCGGGGGAGGGTGGTTTGGGCGCTGACCGGTGGTTAGCGAAGGGTTCTTCGAGGGAGATGGGTTGTTTCGCGATCGGTGGTTCGATTGTTCTTCTAGGATTTCGCCGGTGGTTCAAGAGAAAGGGAGTACGGCGGCCCGACGGGGGTATTCTCGTCGAATTTCAGGTCAGTGCGGGGGTTGTGGTTGGAATTCGGCGCAAGCGCAAGGGTTATGGTCGAGTTTTTCGCCGACCGGTGGTGGCTGGCTGGGTGGAGGGACGTGGGTGGCTGGAGGGACGGTGGTGGATGGCTGGAGGGACGTGGGTGGCTGGGTTTTTTTCCTTTTCTTTTTTTATTTTATTTTTTTTAATTAAAATTATATAATTAAAGTAATTTAAAAGGGAACCAATCATATGTTGCCACGTGGCCTTATTAGCCTTAATGACTAACGGTGTTAACGTCCGTTAGTCATTAATGGCATGTTGTGACATTTTAGTTAAATTGAAGGTTATACGGTGTATTAGAAAGTTTTCTATGGTATATGGTGAATTAAGCTTTAACTCAGTGGTATTTGGTGAAAAATCCGTTCATAATTTTAAATTCTATATTAATTTAAATTCAATATGAGTATAAAGCAATGAAGTGACCAGGGCTTATATTTGCGAAGTAAAGTAAATTATAGCTTGGATCATTTGACTTTTAAATAAGTTTTATTAGGCCTAAATGTTACTCCCTCCGTTTTTAAATACTTGCTCCATTTCTCTTTGACACGCATGTCGATGCTAATCTTTGATCACTAATATCTTTAATTATCAATAAGTATAAATTCTAACAATTGAAAATTAATAATCTATTCATTGAGATGATTCTAACAAGTACCCACAAGACTATATTTTTTCTTATGTATAAATCACAAACATTAGTCAAAGTAGGACAAATGAATTATGCAAAAAATAGAAATGGAGCAAGTATTTAAAAACAGAGGGAGTATATATTAAGGGCCTGTTCACTTTTACTTAATTTTACTTCAGTTCAATTCTAATTAGTTCAGTTCTTAATTTCCCTTTCTCATAAAATATTCATTTTAGCTCAGTTTAGTTCATTTCAGTTTAGCTCCAATCAGTTCAGTTCTCTTCAGTTCAGTTTAGCTCAGTTTAGTAAATGTGAATGAAACCCTAAGTGTTCCTTCCCCCAAAGTGTATTTTACTTAGGTGGATTAAGATAAGCAATAATAATTCACCTTCTCGTTTGCTTTTAAAAAAATGGATAATAATTTAGTAAGAGTAAAAAGATTTGGATTGGATTGGACGGAGCTTGTGAAAAGCAAGCTTGAAACAAGATTGGACTCAGATATCCAAATTATAAAAAAGAATAACTTAGATTGAATAATAGATCTAACCATATCAGACTTAGGGCACGTTCTCTTCAGCTTAGTTTCAATTCAGTTTAGTTCAATTTTTAACTTCCTTCACTCACAAACAATTATGTTCATTTCATTTCAACTCCAGTTCAGTAAATCAAAATAGGTACCAAGCGTATTTATTGGAGATATTTAGGAAATATTAGATTATATTTGGTGACCATATTTTTGGCTAGAATATCTTTTGGGATATATTTGATTAGTTTCCTAATTCTATCCTATGTAGGTAATCTTGTATTATATATTGGCCATTAGAGCTATCAATGAGAATCAAGCTTTTGAGGTTTTATGCAATTTAACATGGTATCAAAGCAGGTTTTGAATTCCTTTCGTTTTTTTTTCTCTAAAATTTCTCAAATATGGCCGGAGATGATGTTCCTCCGCCACCCCCACCGACTAAAATTAAACCCAATTCCCCTTTTTACCTTGGTTCTCAAGATCGACCCGGGGATTTTATAACCCCTACTCGATTAAAATCTGCCAACGAGGACCTCGACCAGGCTGCCAGCCAAGGCAGACCGCATAAGAGCACTCTGCCCATAGCCAGGTAGACAACTCCGCAGGCACCCCGTGGCAACCTACTACAAACCGCAGGGGGGTTGCGGAGGGGCTTGTTTTGCCGCAACAAACAACCAGCTCCATTGCCACCCCGCGACAGCTTGCCATAGACTGCAGGGGGGTGCGTAGGGGCCTGCCTTGAAGCGGTAGCAACATGAAGAGCACCCCGACATTGAGTTTGAGGCCTTGGGTAAAGGCCACCGTAAGAAATTTCCCTCGGTGAGTTACATGACTATGTGACTTACTCCGTTTTTGCTAATAATCCGTCTCAGTCCTCTCCGTCATCCAACACTCCTTCAGGTACGCCTTACTCTTTAGCACACTATATAAATTGTGACATGTTTTCTGTAAACTATCGAAAATTTCTTACAGTGGTGGTTTAGGAAAAGGAACCAAAATCTTTTAAAGAGGTCATTAAATCAGAAGGTTGGCGACGTTCTATGAAAGAGAAGATACAAGCCTTGGAAGATAATGGGACTTGGACATTAGAGCATCTTCCTCCTGGGAAGAAAGCTTTAGGTAGCCAATGGGTGTACAAGACAAAATTTATGTCTAACAGTGATATTGAATGTCTTAAGTCTCGTTTGGTTGTCTTCGGTAATCATCAACAAGAGGGCATTGATTATGGTGAGACTTTTGCTCCAGTGGCAAAAATGACTACAGTTCGCACTTTCCTTGCTATTGCAACTTCTAAGAATTGGGAAATTCAACAAATGGATGTTCATAATGCATTTCTTCATAAAGATCTAGAAGAGGAGGTATACATGAAACTACCTCCCGATTTTAAGAGCTCAGATCCGAGCTTGGTGTGTCGTTTGAGAAACTCTTTGTATGGGTTGAAATAGGCTCTGAGGTGTTGGTTTGAAAAACTAACCACGGCTCTGAAAGGGTATGGTTTTCTTCAGTCTTACCCTAATTATTCTCTTTTCACATATACTAAAGGCAATGTTCAGATTAATGTCTTAGTTTATATTGATGATCTTATTATTTCTGGTAATGATTCCGCTGCGTTGACTGTGTTCAAGGCTTATCTTTGTGACTGTTTTAAAATGAAGGATCTTGGTCCTTTGAAATATTTTTTGGGCATCGAAGTTGCTCGTAGTAAATCAGGTTTGTTTTTGTGCTAACGAAAATACACCTTGGATATTATTTCTGAAGCAGGTTTATTAGGAGCAAAGCCAAGTGGTTTTCCAATTGAACAAAACCACAAACTTAGCCTTGCTAGTGGTGAGTTGCTTGCAAACCCTGAGTCTTATCGAAGTCTTGTATGGCAGTTGATTTATCTCACGGTGGCTAGGCCAGATTTGGCATATTTGATTCATATTCTTTCACAGTTTATGCACGAACCTCGGATTGAGCACTGGGAAGCAACTCTCAAGGTGGTTCGTTATTTAAAGGGTACCACGGGACAGGGTATTTTGTTGAGTGCAGATAGTGACCTGACTTTGGAGGGTTGGTGTAATTCAGATTGGGCGACATGTCCTCTTACGTACTCGTCGTTCGTTGAAAGGTTGGCTTGTGTTTTTTGATAAATCCCCTATTTCTTGGAAGACTAAGAAACAACCTATAGTTTCTACCTCTTCTTAGTATCGATTCATGGCAATGACTACAAATGAGTTGAAGTGGTTAAAAGCCTTACTTTTGAGTATGGGTATTCAACACCCTAAGGCGATCAAGTTGTTCAGTGATAGCAATCTACTCTACATATTGTTAGAAATTCAGTATTTCATGAATGTACGAAGCATATTGAGATTGACCGTCACATTGTTCGTGATGCTATTACAGAGGGCTTAATTGCTCCATCCTATGTTTCCACTAAAGAACAATTGGCAGATATTTTTACTAAGGCGCTTGGCAAGACACAATTTGTTACTCTTCTTTCCAAGTTGGGCATACAAGTTGGGCATTTTTGATCCCCATGCTCCAACTTGAGGGGGGGGGAGGGGTATTGGAGATATTTAGGAAATATTAGATTATATGTGGTAACCATATTTTTGGCTAGAATATCTTTTGGGATATATTTGATTAGTTTCTAATTCTATCCTATGCAGGTAATCTTGTACGTAGTGTAATATATTGGCCATTAGAGCTACCAATGAGAATCAAGCTTTTGAGGTTTTATGCAATTTAACAGTATTCCAAGTCCTTCGTATAATATGGAGTAACTTGTACTCCGTACTTGGTATTTTGTTGTAAGGGAATATAGTTAAGCATAAATACGGTCCCTCAACTATTGTATTTGTAGCATTTTGGTCCCTCATCTTTTTAATG